TGGGATTTCAATCCAGTTATTCTAACTTAGGAGCATGATCTGTAAACTGTACAAATATACCTTTATGGAGCCTAGCTACATGATTTTGACAAACATTACCTTCCATCCATAGAGCTGAGTCTTTAAAGGAAGAGTGCTCATAGCACCAATACTCATTAGAAATCTTGGAAATTTCAAATTGAGATGAAAGGTCAAATGTCACAAAGGAAAATGCCAAAAACCTTAACCATGTCCATGTCCATGGCTATCCCTTCTCTGCTCAATCCAAAAACGAATCCAAATTCAGCTGTTCCTTTCTGTTCTCTGATGACTGCTTCGTGTGGCACTCATCATCAGATGATTAAAGGTGGCAGTAAAGTTATAGCACCCCAGGACATCACCTTGCACCTCTGACTCCAGTCCACATTCCTTTCATCACTTCTTTCCCATCCTTAAAACCTAGTTCCAATGTCACTGACTTCAGAAAGCCTTACCTGAGCCCCCAGATCTTCTGACTGTCTTTCCCATACAGGTTCATAACCACTGCTTGTCCCACCTTATCCTGCAATCAATGACATGAACCTGACAACTGTTTGGAATATTGCTCTGCTTAAGACAGCACAAGGTATCTAGTACTTTGTAGAACCTAAAAACCTTCTGAATTTGTGTAATGAGGATCTGTTAGTATATTTATTTTGGTATAATCCCCTCTTTGAAATGAGAAATGCAAAATCCTCAACTAATAAATTCTTAGCTATAAATAAAATTATAACGTCAATCTTGGAAAAAATTGCAAATGCTTTCCAGTCCCCAGTTCTCACATTTGTAAAAATGCAGTGAATCATGAGATTCTTATAAGGAATATAAAAGTTCCTTGTAAAATTGCATAATAAAATAAGCATTGAAATATTATTTTTATGATGTCATAATTTGCTTTTAAAAATAAAATAAGGAGGAATGCTTTCCCTGGCTGTGGTTTGGCATAGTTACACTGCAAAAAGCGAAGCAAATCACTCTTTCATCCATATTCTTCTCTATTCATTCTAAAAATGAGCCACAATAAGCCAGTAGAATCATGAAGAAGGAAAGGATGAAGGGGAAAATGACAAAGTCCTCTCCTCTATTAAATTGAGTGGCTTCTCCTACTCTTTTATTAATATTTTATTCCCTTATTCAAGTTTGATATAGTGCTACAGTTTCATAATCTTAGGATTCACTTTGAACACTGAGAATCTGATTTGCAATACTTCAAACATATCTTTCCCTTTTGTGACCATTAGCTGCGAATTTTGCAATGACTTACAAAGCCAAGACGTTTCACAGTCATTTTGATATGCCACTGAATTACTATTTGAACTACTAGAGGGGATTTCAGATGTTCAGAGATGACACACTGGTGATGAATTTTTTTCACAAACAAAAGAAGCTAGATTATATGTATCACATGAATCCCAGTACTAAATCATGAGGGAACCAGAGGTTAGGAGCCATATCAAATAATTAATTTATCCATGAAACTCTCTTATTTAAAATTTAATAAATCTTATTCTCCGAAATGGGATTGATTCTAGTCATTCCATTTATTACATAAACATATGGATTTTTATTAGTGTAGAGCTACTTTTTCTTCTCTTCTATCACCATAAAAATATAAAAATATTGTATATCTTACTGATTTCTGACTCCTATCTTACCAACATTAAAGGTTTTCTATGTACAATATGTGTTCCAATGTGATTCTTCAATGAAATAATAATAATTTAAAAAATGAACTCCAAATAACTATGGTTGTTTCTAGACATGGGGGAGACCAAGTGGTTACATTGGATGACGTAAAGAAGTTACAATGGATGAGGCAGAGCGATCCCTGTACAGGGTTGCAGATTTTAGAACAAGTCAGAAATATTTATTTCCTCACATGCAAAAGGAGAATGATTGGAAACTGCATTCCACCCATGGCAAATCTTCCCTGGATATACACACATGCACTTTCCCTGCCCCAAGGGTCCCTCTAAGATGTCTGGGGAATCAACTACATATTAAAGGAAAGGAAAGTATCTAGAAATGAATACAAGCTAACATCATGAAAGGGATAGTCCAGATACAGAAAGGATGTATGCAAAGCGTAGAGGACAGGAGAATGCTCAGGGATCCATTCCAAAGAACTGAATAGGATTTGAAAGTTTCATCAAGAAGGGTTTGTTTGCTGTGCTAATAACTTTGAATATATCTTTAAAAGCACCAGTGAAATTTATTATGATATCTCCCTCTCTTGCCTGGAGATTTCCCAGTTCCTGGTCTCTCTGTTATACAAAATGGAATATTACTCAGCAGTAAAAGAGAATCAAATCATGGCATTTGCAGGTAAATAGATGCAGTTGGGGAAGATAATGCTAAGTGAAGTTTAGCCAATCCCCCCAAATCAAATGGCAAATGTTTTCTCTGATATATGGTGACTAATAGTGAGACAGGGAGAAGGAGCATAGGAGGAATAGACGAACTCTAGATAGGGCAGAGGGGTGGGAGGGGAAGTGAGGGGGCAGGGGGTAGCAATGATGGAGGAATGTGATGGACATCATTATCCAAAATACATCTATGAAGACATGAATTGGTGTGAACATACTTTATATACAGAGATATAAAAAATTGTGTTCTATATGTGTAATAAGAATTGTGATGCATTCCACTGTCATGTATTTAAAAAATAAAAGTAATTAAAAATAAAATAAATAAAATATAAAAGTGCTGAAAAAGGAAATTAACTATGATAGAATGGTTGAAGTCATAGAAAATTTTAAATTATATTTTCACTTTCAAAGAAACTCTTTTTAAAAACAGGATTTTTTTTAATTTAAATTTATTTTAAATTGTAAAAGTGATCCAATACTGGGGTATAAAATTAACCAAAGATTATTTTGTTCTATTGTGTGCTATATTTTATTTTGAGACAGGGTCTCAATAAGTTATATAGGCCCTAAGATTTATGATCCTCTTGCCTCAGTTTCCCAAGTGGCTGGTATTACAGGAATGCACCACTTCACCAGCTTAATTGCATTTGTCAATTCTTCCTAAATTTCTCTTTTGGATGATATTACATACCTCAAACATATTAGGAAAAAGAAAATATATACTTTCCAGGAAAGTGCATTCTACACATACAATTACATAGTCTACAAGATAAACCCCTTTGAGTTCAGTCATTTTTTTAAAGACAGAGAGAGAGAGAGAGAGAGAGAGAGAGAGAGAGAGGATTTTAATATTTATTTATTTTTAGTTATCGGCGGACACAACATCTTTGTTTGTATGTGGTGCTGAGGATAGAACCCGGGCCGCACGCATGCCAGGTGAGCGCGCTACAGCTTGAGCCACATCCCCAGCCCCAGATATATATATATATATATATATATATATATATATATATATATATATACACACACACACACACACATATATGTGTGTGTGTATATATATATATATATATATATATGTATGTATGTATAATACTAAATGAAGTTTAGCCATACACACACACACACACACACATATATGACATTATATAGAAATTATATTTATGTCAAGGTGAGGTGTAAACTTTTGTGTGAGATTGGCAAATGATGACCGTGTTAGTGGCTAAGTAACAAAAATAGCTTTGAGTGACAATACTGCTGATAATGGAGTTGGGATTCAATGGAGAAGTTATAGTAACAGGGGTAAATTTACCCTCTAAGCATGTTTTTTTCATCCTTGGCTATGTAAATAACTCCTAGCTTATTAGTATGGATGCAATTGCTTCAAGGCCCAAGTCACTGGCAGAAATAAATGACTGCCCCCTTTATAATCATTAACAAAAGGGCACTGGAAAGGTGCAGAAACAGCTTAATGAGCTTGGGCTCAAAATTTAAATTTTTTATATTTCAATGTTTCATTTACCTAATTGCATTTGTCAATTCTTCCTAAATTTTATATTACAAATATACCCATGTAGAAAAATGCAACTGCACAACCTCCTAATATATCTTAAAATGTTTCTTTGTTTTGACCATACTTTCTTCTGAAATGATTTACTAGAATCAATCTGTCCAGCAAGATATCTGACATGGCCTATAATAATTTTTGAGTAGAACATATTTTTCCATAGAAGCAGATACTTTTGCAATTTTCTTAAACAGTATGATATATAAAATATAAAAATGTTTCTTCAGACTTGTGTATAATGTTATAAAATACAGAGTATTTTGAAAAGCCTTGATTTTCCTTTTTTAGTTCAGAAAGCCCCACTAGACTGTTTCCTAATGACGTATATAGCATGTCATATAAATATTTCACTTTGACTTTCTTATTAAATTTTACCTAAAACCCTTCATGACACAGATTTTTCTTTTGCCTTACTCAGATTTTTCTAAGGAATAAGTAAAAGATAATCTTCAAGCCAGAGCACCAAAAGAGATATTTTGTAAGAAAATGAAGTCACATTTTATCTTAATATGTCTGCACCTTGGTTACAAGTTTACTAAAAGATGCAGAATATAGGTCAGAATATGCATATTACCCATGTCCTATGTCTTATTTACAAAATGACCTCATGACTACTTTATGCTAATTCTTTAAATCAGAAAAGCAGAGCACACTATATAGTTTAAGAAGTGCATAAAATAGCATGAGTGGAAATCATCCAGTTCCAAATTAAAGGAACATGTTTTCCCATGCAAATTACCTTATGCCAAATGCCAGTCATTAATATTTCAGACATTCAGGAAGACAGCTGGAATAGCACTGGGACAAACACACACAGTACAACATAGAGTGCAAGTTATCAAAGACAGACTATCATTACCATAGTTAAAGTAAACACAATATGTTAAAGAACAACGTCTATATTTGATTGATAAAGATTATTATTCAAAATATGGTTGCATTCTTATATTCCAGAAAGTTTCCCAGAGATTAATGGGATATTGATTGCTTACAATTTTGCCAAAACCAGGTTATTAATAACTTTTAAGTCCAGAAATAAAGCCAGGAAAATTTTCTACCTGTCGCGACCACTCGCCGGCAAGGGAAAACACGACACAGGATTCTTCTTTCAGCAGTTTATTCAGGCCTTGATTCAAGTATCATCTTCTAGTGACCCCCGCCGAGCGCCCAAGCACAGCCTAATAAAGCCTCCTGCATAGCAATCCCAAGCTGCCACGTGGATCTCTCTCATAGGGTGGTAAGGGATTGCACGCCAACTCTCCAAAAAAGGAGTTGTTTATCACAGGCCACAGTGGAAGCCGGAGCCATCTTCTAATGGTGGCCACGGTCTATAAGAATGGCTTACCACAGTTCCCCCTTCTATTTTATATAACAATGCAGGCGAAAGTAGAGGTCCTATCCCACTGTGCAGAAGTGGCTGCAGTGTATGGTTCAGTCCTAAGGAGGGCCCTTCCCTAGACCTGGTCCCATATCAGCCGACGCCTTTTTTCGTAGGGCGGGGCGTGGACATCAAACCCGCATGCAATAGGACATGCTTTCCTTGAGGTCCGTTGAGTGATCACTCAAGTGCAGTGCTTTGCCTCGCATCCTGCATCGTGACGACGGTGAGAAGTAGGATAACACAAGTAGCCTGGTAGTAATGACAAAATTTAAGTTGGCAACACAATCCCTAAACCCCAGAGGAAGGTAAAGAGTCTGTAGCCGAGAAGAAAGACCAGTCCTGAAACCCATCTGCGTGCAATGGTAACAAGACCTGCAGAGTGCAAGGGCTATTCAGCACTGGGAGAGAATAAGGAAGAGGACATGCCAATCCCAGTGCAATGTGAAACTAACTTGGGGTGCAATGGCCCTGCCCAGAAATCACTGTTTAAGATGTGCAAGCCAGATTTGTGGAGAGATACCATTCTCTAGGGCTGCAAAAGCCTGGACGATCATAGCCTTTTCTTGGCTATGGTGAGCTCTTAGGCGACAGAGAAGCCACAAACAAAGCACAACACCGAAGCAACACATAGCACCAAAAATGCCCACTCCCACCCATTCCTTAAAAAAGGAAAAGGCAGAGGATAGCCAACTGGTGAATTGACCCAAAGTCACTGGTTCGACACGGGAGCTATTCAAAACAGCAATCTGAGTTGGTTGAGACTGGATCAAGTTTTCTGCTTCCATGGACCAGGTTCCGGATAGATACTCTCCGATGATGCGGGAGGCATTCCTGGAATCATTAAATCTGACAGAGGTTATACATAAATGTGCACGTTGATCAACACAACCCAAATGTACTAGGTCAGACAATTCCTCAACTTGAGCTTGAAGCAGATCTATCCTTTGATTAGCAGCCAGAATCCCAGATAAAATGTGTTGATTAATTTTACTTTGAGACTCAAGTATGGTGGAAGTTTGTTGAATAACCTGATTAATAGTGGCAGCAGTTTGTACCTGGCTGGTCATGGCTACTCCAGCTGTAACTGCTGCAGCAGCAGATACCGCCACAGCTGTCACTATAGCTGCCGTAATTCCAAAATCTCTACGGGCTCTAATCAGTTCAACAATAGGAAATGACTCTGGATCCGCAGTAACCGGGATCGGGACAAAAGTTGGAATTTTCATAACCACTGCCATAGGCCAGGATCCATTCCAACACTCAGACAAGTAACAGGTAATATTAGAGCAATTAAGCATCCTCTGTGATGTAACATTAGCCAAAAGGAACAGAAACGGAGATTGGAGACAGACTGCTGCAGAGGGTAACGTTGCATTACCTAATAGTGCATTGTGTGAAATAGATTTGAGTCTCCTACCCCACCCCGAGTCTTGGGTACTGCCAGAAACATTAAACAGCCAACTTTGGACTCCTCGTAATTGAGCCAAAGCGGAAATATCGGCTGTGGCCCCCTTTTCATTGGAAATCAACCATTGAAACCAGGACCAACCCGCTCCTATAGAGGAATTATTGTTGGAAGAATTATACAAGTATCTTTTAAGAGAGGGGGAAAGGGAGAAACCTTTAGCGACCTGATGCTTCTCCCAAGAGTGATCTTGACAAGGTGTAAACATAGGAGGGAAGCCATACTCAGGGGTGCAATAAGGAGAAGCCTTAAAATGAGTGGCATTAGAGGTCATATTAGAAGGAGACAGCGGGATAAGCACCTGGGAAGTAATGGCCAAAGTGGTTATATTTAACTCAGATGTATTTGTCGGGACTCTTCTTGTCAGGCGTTCTGGAACCCACACCGGCTCCGTCCGGTCCCGGCCCCCGGCGGCTCCGCTTTCTCCACAGCGTGAGCCTGCTCTGCAGCAGTGCAGGCAGGTCCTTCAGCCGCGGCCGCAGCGACCCCGGCGGCTGCTCGTGCTCCGGCTCGCGGGCGCTGGGACTGCGGCGCAGAGCGCTGTCCGCCGCCGCCACCGCTGCGGCCAGGGCCAGGTTCTCGCACGGCGGCTGTATCTTGACTGAGCCCACCGCCATCCTCATGCCCAGACTGCGGCCGCGGCCCCGGCAGCTTCTCTCAAAAACATCTGCAAAGTGCTCTGCTTTACCTTAAGTCCTTTTGAACGTAGCAACCCATCCAGGGCCAACAAAATTGGGCTTGAAGAAGCAACGCCCATAATGTTTTTAGAACTATAAAGAAAGTGAAAGTACAAAAATCCCCGCTCTCTTCCTTTTACAGGGGAGCATTCCGTTCTATGAATTCCCCGCTCTCTTCCTTTTACAGGGGAGAGTCCTTTTTCCCACTCTCTCTCTATTTACAGAGAGAGCGCCCCGCTATTTGCTTGCGGATTCCCACTTTACCTGGGAACTTACCGGTGCACCACCCTGACTGCTGAAAGTTCTGGATCCTGGGTTCGAGGAATATAATTCCCCGTCCTGGCCACCAATTGTCACGACCCCTCACCTGCAAGGGAAAACACGACACAGGATTCTTCTTTCAGCAGTTTATTCAGGCCTTGATTCAAGTATCATCTTCTAGTGACCCCCGCCGAGCGCCCAAGCACAGCCTAATAAAGCCTCCTGCATAGCAATCCCAAGCTGCCACGTGGATCTCTCTCATAGGGTGGTAAGGGATTGCGCGCCAACTCTCCAAAAAAGGAGTTGTTTATCACAGGCCACAGTGGAAGCCGGCGCCATCTTCTAATGGCGGCCACGGTCTATAAGAATGGCTTACCACATCTACCAACACTAATTAAGATAGAATTGCCTAATTTTTTTTAATCCAAGAGTTCTAAAAATTAGGAAAAATAAAAAGAGTGGAAAATGGGATGAAACAAGAGGATGACTCTGATGATAACTTCCATGTTTCAACAAACTCTTCTATCAGCACAACATATGAGGACCTACCCAAGAAAGTGATCAAGTTAACATCATGCTAACCCCTCTTTGTATTAGGGGAAAATGATCAACATGTGGGGAATGTTTTCTGTAGTCAACTAATCTTTTCTTCATTAATCAATTTGTTTCACTTGGATAAATATATGATGAAAACACCTAACAAAAATATATGATTCAAATGACCCCTTTAAGAGAGAACATCCAAATACATTTATGTTTTGATGAGACATAGACAGTACTGTCAATAGGTTTCCATGACTTGTACACTTCTATTATGAAATTCACATACTTAAGTTTATTTTTTTAAAAAAATAGCAGTTAAACAATTAAAATAAAAAGCACACATCAAAACAAATGTGTTCTTTTAAAACATTTTTCTTAAAACAGTAATTATAAGAAACAATAATTATAAAAAAGTTAAAGCCCCTCTTCATATGATGTAAGAGAAATACATTTTATAATTAAATGTATTATTAAGTTATTTCCATAAAAATTATTTTTGAATACATGATATTATATACAAATACTACACAAGAAATGTTTAAAAGAACAACTCTCTTGTAACAGTGTACTTATTAGCATAAATACTTATATGAAAGCCATGTATAGATATCTAAGGTTTGCTTTAAAATTGGAGTGGGTGGTTTTGTGTGTTCAGAAAAAAAAAAACATGAATTCATTGTGAGTTACAAGTTCAGACAAGGTGAAAGGCAATAATGTTATTTTCAAGATCCAAGAAAATCTATAACACTTGAAGATTACTTTTTCACAAGGTGAATAATTCCTGTTTGGTCTTTACAATTTCTCTAACACTTCAGAGGATGTGTGGGTCCACATTCCCTTATGGACAGTGTGATTTAGACACCTTGTAATTTTGACCTTTCTCCTAGAAACACATGTGAAGGACAGGCCTGAAGCCCGGTGAAGAATAATCTCATCTTATTTCAATCTGTAATGTCATCAAAGGTTAATTTGAAGAGTGATTTCATCTTAATTGCCTTTGTTGTTAAGCCAACAAAATGTTTTGGAGAATTTGTCTTAAAATACTTATGAAAAATCTAACTAAAAAAATCATAAAATAGTAAAGGTTAAAAACATCTATTTTTTCCACTAATTTTTTATACATGAAATATTTAAAATCATTAAAAATTGTATTCATTTACAAAAATTTCAAACAATCCATGAGTATACGAGGTAAATTTAGAATATTCTGCTTCATCATTGCCTAATACATTCCTTCTGCTTCTCAGAGAACATGTTTGAAAACCATCCCAGTCTTTCTCTTTCTCTGTGTGGTTATATACACTTTGATATGTACCATTGCATGAATATCCTTAACAAAAATGAGAATATATATATATATATATATATATATATATATACACACACACACAACATGTGTATATATATACACACATATATACATATATTGCTAATTTAAAAAAAACTGCCTTAAGGAAGAAGAAATCATGAATATATTTCCACATTTTCTCAAATCTATCTTGTTTTTATTGGATGGGTCCAGGATATTCGGTAGTGCAGATTTACCATTGTTTTACCAAACATTCCCCTATAGATAGTTACATGTGCTGCTTTTAAAACTTCTTCTCAAAATATGTCACCCTGAATATAACATTTTAATATGGAGCATAGGTGACATGTATATGAGCATTTCTGTAGTAGATTTTGAAATATTTTGGAAAGGATTTTTAATGAAAGTTTATATGTACTTAAAATTCAGTAATTATTCATGAATGGATCTCAAGAAAGGATTTATCAATTTACATTTCCATCAAAAAGTTGTGAAAATACAAATTCCTACTCATGTCTAATATTAGATATCATCAATCTTATAATTATTGCCAAAATATGTTAAAAATTATACTTACTGATGCAAAGATATTTGCTTTTACCTAACTTTCAGTGAGTCTAAACATTTTTGAAATACTTCATTTGTGTGGACTGCCATAAACTATCCATTTACACATTCTGACTGCTTTGCTCTTGAGTTGCTTAGAGATGCTATACAGATTTATAATAGTATTCACATATGAGTAATGATTTACTTAGTAAATATTTTGCAGATATTTATTCCAAATCTGTATCATACACTGCGCTTTTTATATTTCACTATGTTGATTCTCAATGTTATTATGCCAAATCATGAGTGTTTGCCTTTATATTTCCAAAATTTAAGTAAAAAGCCTACATGTCTCTAATTATAAAACTATTTTCTTTTTTTTAATAATGATTGGTTGTCAATGGATCTTTATTTTATTTATTTATATGCAGTGGTAAGAACCGAAACCCAGGACCTCACACATGCTAAGCAAGTGTTCTACTGCTGAGCAACAATCCTAGCCCCTAAAGCTATTTTCTTAAATTCCAATCTTGCCCTTCCAGGTTGTTTGACAGTTAAGCTACTTCAGCATCTTCAGTTTTTGGAGTAGCATTACCCAGGGGTTTAATATTATTTTTAATAAAATAGGAAGTTAACTTTTCCAAAAGCATTCATATATAATAGCTGATGTTTTCCTTTTTTGACCTTTTTTAGTCTGTTTAACCGCGTTTTAACTCATTTTTAAAATGTATTTACATTTCCTCCTTAATCATGTCCTTACTTCTGTCTTTATCCCCCAATTTTCTAGAATCAAAAGTTTCTGCACAATCAAGTAGCACTGCTAGTGAAAAAAGACATAGATTCAGGATCCATTGTCTTGAATTCAATCTCTGGGATGGAACATTAAGGAATTTACATGACCATAAAACTGGAATGAATATATCTGCTCAATTATATAAAAATATCTAAAATAATATAATTAGGTTTAGTTACTATTGCTATACAAACTGAAAATAGCTATTGATGTTTTTTCAAAAAGTCGAAATTAATATTTGGTATTACAAGTCTTTAAATGACAAGTGCTAAAAAGAAATGAGAGAAAAAAGCCAGCAATCATTTCAATATGCTGTTGCATCCCACCGCTGTGAGGAATCATTTATCATTCTGCAGCATGAGTAAACTTCTCATCCCGCTTCTACCAGGGGGCATTATTGGGCCCCCACAGTGAACATTAAAAGAAAGTCAAATTGCAGGACAGAGAATTAACAAAAGGAAATGAAAAAGAAAAAAAAAACCACATTGTTCTAATCATTCTTTGAGTTCTTATAATTATGAAGTTAAATCATTCCTTGAGGGTTATTGTGGTGTTAACTGCATAATGGAGAGGGGACAGCAGATTAGGATAAGATATGTTGTGATTTCTAAGCTTGTATAATAAGTTAATTTAGAAAAAAAATCAGCAAAGAAATTATTTCTTTCATGGAGAAACATCATTTGAGTTTAGTTCAGCAAATCAACAGCTGTTTATTAGGAGGAAAATGAACACTTTCCAAAGCAACCTGGAGCATATGTATAGCAATGAACACATGATGTTTTGGTAATTGCTAATAGGATTGGACTCTTCAGGAATACCTCTACAGGTATTCTCCTGATGCTTTTAGGTTGATCATTTGTTTTTGTGGTACAATAGATTTAACTCAGGGGTGCTCTACCACTAACTTATATCCCCAGTCCTTTTTATTTTGAGAAGTGGTCTAAATTACTCAGATTAACCTTGAATTTGTGATCCTCCTGCCTCGGCCTCTGGAGTCCCTGAGATTAGAAGCATGCATCATAGACTATGCCAGGCTCCCCTGCTGTTTATTAATTTATTGTTATTATTATTTAAATGAAATTTCTTTGGCATTGCTCATTATATTTAGGTTGACGTAATCTCATTTCAAATCCCACACTCATAATTCATTGGATTTAGTAACTGGTTCAAAAATAAACTATATTACTCTTTAAAATAATGAGTTCTTGTCTAAGTTCTGTGTGTTATCACCTTACTTTTTAAACTAATTTAATAAATAAATAATATTTACATTATCAACATTTGTATTTTTAAAATAATTTATTGAAGTGAAATTTAAAAAAAACTAACCATTTTGGAGAAAATAATTCAGAGTAATTAGGACATAATACTGATTGGCCACCTCCTCTGTCTAATGCCAAAACACTTCCATCATTGCATACTAAACCCCATATTCATTAAACAGCCCCTCATTCACTCCTTTTACTATTTCCTAGATGCTATCAATATTAATTCTGTCCCTATGGGATATATCCATTCTGGGTGTTCATATAAATGGAAACATACTATATGTGACTACATGATTAGCTTCTTTCATGAACTTAATATTTTGGATATTTACCCACATTGTGGTGGTATATCAGCATTTGTTTTCACTTTTATTTTGGAATATATATATATATATATATATATATATATATATAATGATATATATTATGATATATATATATATTCTATTATGTTCTATTATGAGTGTGCATATGTATTTGTTTTAATACCTGTTTTCAAAATATTTTTTGGTACATACCTATAGATGAAATTGCAATTAATATGGTAATTCTATGTTTAACTTTTTGAGAAACTGCCAAACTTCTCTTGAAAATGCAGAGGCTGAACCACTCCCACTAGAAATATATGAGGGTTCCAATTTCTACAACTCTTCTTATTTTCCTTCCCTTTTCTAAGTAATACCCATACTAGATGGCATTAAATGGCACCTTCTAATTGTCTTCCTTCTCTCTCATTTCCTTTTGTCAATTCTCTAGTCTTCAATGTACTTAAGCAAATTAGTCATTAAGGAAATGTAATAATATTGAGCATATTTTCATGCATTTATTTGTCATTTGCAAATCTTTGGAGACATGTCTATTCAACATTTGTATTA